GTGAAGTCAAGGCTCAATTTGTCTTTAAATTTTTAAATTATATTTATTGTATGTATATGTGTGTGTTTGTGTACATGCCCATGTACCCACATGTCATGACATGCATGTGGAAGACAAAGGAAACGTGAAGTACTTGGTTCTCTCCTACCACATTGATCCCATGGATTGAACTCAGGTCCTTGCACTTGGTGACAAGTGCCTCTACCCCCTGAACCATCTCTCACCAAGCTAGGGTTCACATTTTTACCATAAGAAGAAAGGATATTATGTTGATCCCCAGATGAGCTATGAAAGCCTGATGCCCCACAGGTGAATCATAATGCTAACCACTGAAGAGAGAGTTCCACTTGCTCTCCTTGTCGAATGGGCTACACAGGCCAGTGGGAGTTCAGAAGCACCACTGATGCAGTTTCTTTGAAGCAGTTCATCTTGTGATGTCTGATGAAAGGGGAGCTAGTGATGATAAAAGGCTTTCCTTTCCTCTCTTCTTCTCTAAGGGCAGTAACCAGAGCAGTCCACATCCACCATGGTCTGGCTGGCCAAGTAGATGCCCCCCCCCCAGTTGTATGTTGTATGCAAGTTGGTTAACACCTGCAAGCCACTGCTTTGCACAGTTCTGAGATGCTACCCCTGGTGTGCTTGTTTGCTTTCCAGCATTTGATCTTGCTTTCTGATGACAACTTGGCACCTAATAGAGCCCATAAATGCTTGAGGGGATGGAGTAATAGTTTAAAATGCTGACAGTGTTTACAATCCTCCACAAAACAGTGGGGAGGGGAAGAAAAGAGAGATAAAAGGTAAAGAGATAATGATGTACAGCTATTAATACTGCCTAGATGGGACTGAAAAGTCAATTCTGTTGTTCCCTTCATTTTATTTTTGTCTAACTTGATAAATCAGCTAATGAACTGAAAGAAACTGGTATTAGGCAAACAATTCTAAAGGACTTCAGAATTTGAAGACTCAGAGCTATGAATCTATTTAATTCAGGTAGCATTAAAAATTGTCAAAATAAGTATACAAAAGATTAATAGTCAGTCTTCCTTCCAACCTTGGTGGGCTATTTAAAATTCCAGAGATCAAGACTCTAAGGAAATGGTCTGTTGCAGAACCAAATCATTTAGTAAGTTAAAATTAGATCAAACATACCATTACTAAGTATTACAATTAGGGAAGATATCGTTCGTCTGCTTTGCAAAAGTGAATGCACTGTTAACAGAAACATAACTTCTCAGACAAAATCCTAGTGATCTTTTCCTACTGCTACTGGATACACAGTTCCTCCATTCATGCGCTGTCCTATACGTGTTCTCAAGGCAGCCTCGGAGCAACAGCATAGGGTACTGGTTAAGACATGAGGAGCACACAGATCCAGTTTGCTTCTAAGTTTGACCCCTTACTAGGTAAGCTTAGAAGGTCAAGTTATTTAAATCCTCTATAAGATGTTTCACTCAAATTACAAAAACAACAGATGCCTGTGTCAGAGGGCTGTTTGAGAGGTAATAAAAGATTTGCATGGTTGGAAAACAGCAAGGATGTTGTTGATGAAGACAATGACTTTATATTTGTGACCCACTTCCCAATTCCTCAAACATAGCAGGAAATGGGTTCATGTTTCCTGAACAGAGGTTAACTTCCCACATTGCCGGTCTGATGGCATGCCACCATTTCTTTCAAGAGAAGATTGTAGTTGAGCAAAATCTTACAGAGAACCTGTTGCCTTCAGCTGGTCACTGCCTGGGATCCCACAGCCCTTTGTGCACATCTCTGTTAGCTCTTGGCCCACCCACTGGCAGCATCTGTTCATGCTGCTTCCAAAGTCTGCACCTTGTTACATGGGGGAGAATGAACTCCACCTTCCACAAAATCACAAGCTCCTTTTCAGTTTGTATATCCAAAGCCATGCATACAACAGGGAACTAACATGAACTGGCTCATCAGCTGAGTTGAAGACACCCACAAGTGGTCACCATACCCAAAAGGACCTATGTGCTTATGAAAGACAGCGTCAGTGTTGCTATGAGACTTCTGCTCTGTCTTCAAGGTCCCATTCACGCTCAACTATGAGCATGAAGCTCTGCTCCATCCAGTCCACATGAATCCCTCTTTCCGAGTCTATACTATCAATTAGGCGTAGTCATTCCGTGTGTGTGCTGGTCCTTTGTCCTGGCCCTCTGTCCTCACATGCTCTATAGACTCCTCAAGGAGAAGGTTAACTAAAATTTCCTGCAGTACCAGGGTTTGCAATAGGCAGGAAACAAGCATTGGATTGGCGGAATGATTTCTGTTTTCCTCTCGGTTGAACTAATTCTCTATGATTGTCTGATGACCCCCAACTTGGAAAGAACAGTGTAGTGATGTGCATAGGTTAAACCTGAGTCCTCTGGAATGTAAAGCAGGGATGTCTTTACCAATACAAAACAGCATCTTTCCTTGGCCAGTGCCCAGTTTTGAAATTAATGGCTTAGCACACCAGGACTGGCATTTTACTCAAATCATACAGTAGCTCCCAACCAATTTTCATGGTGTTAACCAACAATGAATCCTCCTTTGAGCTCTATTCCTGTCATCAAATGGACTGAGAAATGGTTCCAAGTCCCACAGAAAGAGACTGAAGGCAATCACAAGCTCCCACCATAAGCGGATAAACCACAGTGGAAGTTATCTTACCCCAGAAACTGTCAACTCTTGGACAGAACTCCAGACTCACATTCTCAAAGATTACAAGTTCTCTCTTTTTTTTTTCCTTTTTATATCAGGGGCTCTCCAGGATACTGACATTCACCTTCACAAACTTAACTTTTTTAAAACTTTTTTAAATGATTTAACCCTTTCCTCGCTGGGTGTGAATGGGGCCTTGAAGACAGAGCAGAAGTCCCATAGTAACACTGACCCTGTCTTTCATAAGCACACAACTCCCTCTGGTATGGTGACCAGTTGTGGGTGCCTTCAGCTCAGCTGATGAGCTAGTACCTGTTAGCTCCCTGTTGTATGCATGGCTTTGGAAATACAAACTGAAAAGGAGCTTGTAGCTCTGTGGAAGGATAAGTTCATTCTCCCTACTTCAGATACTTGCAGCTCCCTCCTAACAGATAAACAAGGCAGATTGTCTTGTTTTACAGACGTACAGAGAACCCAGGCAGCCGACCCTAGGCCACAACTAATGAACAGCTCAAAGGGCCTACAGCCCTTTCTGCCCACTTTTCTCTTCCCTCTTTCTTCCTTCTCCCTCCTAGGTGCAGTTTTTACTACATCAATGACCAATAATCATCCAAGAAGTTGCTCAGCATCTTCCTCTACCATGTCAGTCAAGGTAATGTCTTTGAAAGAGTATCCTGTGTTTTGCATTGAGATTGGGTGTCCCCATAGAAAACCCTGCCACTCAAAACCCAAGTCCTAGCCCAAGTGCTACAACATATTGAAGGCAAGTTGGCATCTAAAATGGTTGACTGGGAGCCAATTGTGGTGTTCTAATCTTTGTTCATGCTGTCAATGTGACATATGAAAAAAATATGAATAAAGTGACAGGATGCAAACAAAGCTAGAAGCCAGTGTGAGATCCACAGACAGGGTGTTAGCCCCACATGAAATGCAACTGGGTCAAGTTAACACCTTGTGTTTACCCCACATATGCAGCATGGAAATGCTATTTACAAAATGTTTTTAAATATTTAGGGCCAAATAAATCAATATTGTTGGGAAACATTTCCTCTGACCAGAAGTCATTTACTTGCCCTAGTCCCATGTGAATCACCAAACTGAGAATATCTGAATGATCCAAGAGTGGAGGCAATACAGATGTTCAGCACTCCCCCCCCCCCCCAGT